TCTAACAGCGACTCACTGCCAACACAAAGCGTTGACTACAGATGTTTATGCCATTAGACCTCATTTAAGTGAGCGAGGACAAGAGCTTGCCACAAGGCTGAAGTTTGAGAAGAGGCTTCTTCTCTGTGAGGGCGCCCTTAGGTCCAGTCTGCTGGGCTCTCTTACTGACGATGGTGACAATGAAATCTTCCAATGTGACTGGGAGGCACAGGAGCAGACCAATATTTTCAAGCTGCTCGGGCTGGGTGAGTCACGGGACTGTGTTGACCAGGTCCACATTGCCGGCGGCCACATCATGACTCTGTACTTGTCATCACAGAACTTTGTTACCTGCTTCTATCTGTTATTCTGACATGTATGCTAGCTATTTACCGCCGTCAAGGGTTGCAGTCCGATGCTGCTGCATGATAACTAATGTAATGTTTTATTGTTCTTTGCCCCTCTATTTGTTTTCAATGCAGATTTTTTAGCTCTTGAGTGTCGAGGAGGCAGAGCAGTGTCTTGAAGCTGTTTCAAGCAGCAGCCGGACCCCATGACCAATGGATGTCGAGCGCTGGACCAGATCACCTAGCAGCAAATCAGAAAGTGAGTTCCTGTCAAAGTTTGTGTTGGTTTCATGTCAGGGTTACAAATAGGCTGGTTGGGTGCTCACCAAGAATTGCATGGTTTTGCGACATCGTGTTAAGTGTGTGCTTCAGTATAGCAACCTGTCCATTTTTACTCCACTAAGCCTATATGTCTATAACTAACTGACTGACACATGTCCCGCTGCTGTTGCAGTCAACCACCTTGGACATGGTGAAGCAGTGGGCGACAGATGTGGGCGGTGGAGATTACAACAGCCATGATGACAGCAAAGGCCACCTCAAAGCGCAGCCGTTCTGGACCTGATGTCGTCTTGACTGAAGCGGATCATGAAAACAAAGGCGAAGGGGAAGGGGGGCAAGAAACGACGGTGGTAATGGATGCACGTTTATTTTGGGATGAATGCACATGCAATGTGATGGACAGCTGTATTGTCTTCTTTTGTGGAGGTGCCTTTTCTTAGCGCTGAAATCACATGGTGGACAGGGTCTTGAGACGGCTTGGCTTATAAGCAAATCCGTATCAAGACGCTGTCCATCATGTGATAAGAACACGCATTCCTAGTTAGGATTGGAGGCGTGTCCATATGGTGCGATGGACATTATAAAAAAGCTTAATTTTGGACTGAAACGGGCCTTTATATCACGTGATGTATAACTTTCATTTTATGGAGACGGCTTCTTTTTGGACTGAAGGGGCCTTCATATCACGTGATGGACATGGGCTCGTTTTATGGAGACGGCTTCTTTTTGGACTGTAAGGGGCCTTCATATCACGTGATGGACATGGGCTCGTTTTATGGAGACCACCTTCATTTTGGACAGAAGGGGTATTCAAAGTGTAAGGGACGTTCATTCTGAGCTACCTTCATTCTGTAATGAAGTGGTCCTCATTCCAAATTGAATCGTGGCCCTGAAATGAATGGAGCAATGAATGGTCCTTCATAATGGTATGAAATGAATGTGAATCGCATATAGAATGAATCCTCTAGGTTCCCAGAGTGTGCGGGCTGCTAGCGGCATTTGAGGACGGCACCCGGCAGGAGGCCCTGCGGCTGAAGGATGAGGGAGAGCATCTGTTGTTCCCCCCCTCCAACAGCACGCGCCAGGCGCAGGCAGAGGCCAAAGCCGCTGAGAAGGGCTTGGGGCCTGCTGCAGCCACCGCCGCCACCGCTGCCGCCAACCCCGCATCCCCCACCACCCCCGACCCCAATGCGACAGCGGAGGAGGCAGATCCCAGCACCCTTGCACTGGCGGACGATGAGGACGACAGCTACTTTGAGGGCATGCTGACCCAGGTGGAGGCACTGCAGAAGGAGCACGAGCAGCGCTCGCCCGAGGAGCTGGAGGTGCTGTGCAAGGCAGCGGCAGTGGCGGGGGTTGAGACGAACCCACTGCTGCAGATCGGTGACGATGAGGAAGAGCCAGCAACGACGGGCGCAGTGCGTGGGCGTGGGCGCGGGGGAGGCAGGCGTGGGGGAGGCAGGCGTGGGGGCCGGGGGCGCGGGCGTGGTGGTGGCAGGGGCTCGGGGAAGCGGTCCGCCACCATGATGGAGGAGGAGGCGATGGTTGAGGAGGTGGAGGATGCGGAGGTGCCGTCTGAGAGCAGCGACGAGGGTAGTGAGAGCAGTGATGAGGAGGGGCAGGAGGAGGCGGTTGTGCAGTTGACTGAGGCCCGCGCTGCCAGCAAGAGGCAGATTGTCCGGCCCGCCCGCTACCGCTGAGGAGTTCACATCGTTCATGCCAGGGCGACACACTTCTCTTTCGGTGGGTGGGTGGGTTTGCGGTGTGAGTGGTTTGTTCTGGGGCTGCTATTCGCATGGGTTGACGTTATCTATTTGTCGTTTCTAAGACTTAATGTGCAGCCTTTCCGCGCTGTTTGTACTTTGATAGCAGCTTGGCGGTAATAGATGGAGTAGCCCTGGAGCCGTCACCAAAAGTGTATCACAACTGTAGATTTTTCTCGTGACCGTCCCCAAAATTGCATATCATCAAAATAATTTCAGCGTTAATTTTGGGCCTTCCCCAAAACATGTATCAGAAAAATCTCGTATCATTACGGTAATGTGCAGCCTTTCCGCGCTGTTTGTACTTTGATAGCAGCTTGGCGGTAGTAGACGCTGAAGCGTAAGCGCGCGAAGCGTGAGCACGCCCGCGGGACGCCCTGGAGCCGTCACCAAAAGTGTATCACAACTGTAGATTTTTCTCGTGACCGTCCCCAAAATTGCATATCATCAAAATAATTTCAGCGTTAATTTTGGGCCTTCCCCAAAACATGTATCAGAAAAATCTCGTATCATTACGGTATTGTCCGACGGCTGCGTGGGCTGCATCCCAAATCCACCCACAAAATCATCATTGACTTCCATTGTGATATTACCTCTTAAGCATCTTTAGAGATTTGGCCTATGGGGTTAGAGAGTAGGGTCGGGTTGGAGCCAACTATAGCACAGCCAGAGACTCTTGATCCTGAGTAAGGTAATTATTACAAAGACGATAACACTTGTTAGTTTGATGCTGCAATGAGTGGCAATGCACAATGAGACAGGTACAGATCCTGCCTGTGGGTCGCCGCTGTACTGCCAAGAGATTGGCTGGCGCTAATGAAAGGCACCAACGGCGAATATATTTGAGGTGGAACCATTCTGTTTATTCATGCAAGCAGCTAACCGCGGACTATGTGAGCGAGGTAGTTCGACTGTGCAAGCATGGCGGTCCAGCAGCCAAGCTGGCTAAATCGTATTCATTTCTTTAACTTTATGTCCGTGTATATTTTGCATTTTTGTGTTATGTTGTGTTCATTGTTCATTTCTTCTCTTCCGTCAGCGGATGCTCCAGATCCGCGGTCAAGGTTGGATATTACTTGTGCTGGGCTAAATAGCATCAAGTTCAAATCCTTTCCAGACTGCTTATGCACGGCATACAGTCGCTTGACTACTTTGGCTGTACATTCGAAAATGGGAAGTCTATTTGCTTCCAGAACTAAAGGGGATTTCCACGTTTAAATTGTCTTGATTCCTACAGAAGTAGGATAATGGCTTCTTATGACTGGATAGTTCGATGTAAACAGTTTTCTCCGGCTCCCTAAGAGGGTCTTTCCATTGGCCAGCGGCTGGGAAAGTTCCTTAAGTTCTATGGAGAAGTTTAGAAATTTCCTTAATTTCACTTTCCATTGGGCCCACTTTACACAACTTTTATTAGACGTACGGATTGTAAGAAATTGCTCACTTTTAAGCTCCATACGACATTTGCGAAGGATGTAACTCGTGGTGATAGTCCGGGAAAGCGGGGTGGTGACCCGACTCGAGATTGACATGGCCACGCTGCAAGCGAAGCTGCCTCAAGCAAGCTTCGTCATCCATATGAATTCCAATGTAATCAGCAGGACTTCCCTGGAAGGACATTGAGGAGTAAATAGCACTCGCCGGTTATGCGTAGCTGTCGTCTGTCGCTTCCGAGGGGCGCGACTGCACTGGTCAACGCACCAAATATTTGGCTATTCAGCTCACACAAATGTGATGAGTATATGCGAGGTCGACAATTTAATACATGGTCGGGAGCATGTACTAGCTAAGAGGGTCTTTCCATTGGCTGGTCGTAAATTTTCGTAGATTCTCCTTAGGGCCGGCCGGGCCCGCCGCACCTCCTTTTTTGGGATTTCTTGCACAAACTGATAATATAGATGTAAACGAATGTGTGTATGTAATTTTGGCAGCGCGAAGTGCCCCATGCGAGAAGTTGCCGGACGGCCAATGGAAAGTGTAACAAAGCTTGCAGTTGGCAAGCAGTTGCGAAAGGAAATTATCCAACGATAAAAAGGTGGTATTGATAAATACCGTTTGGTATTGGAAGATTATGAATAGTTCTTGGATGTACCGTTGGTACGATACCGTTGGCCCGGTGAGCCAAGGGCCGCCTTAGCGGCGTTACATTCCCCCCCTCTTGAATGCGAACCCGTCCTCGGGGCGCCTTGAGTGAGGTGGATAATTAGGGTAGCGGTACGCCTTTTGCGTACAGTTTTCCGTGGTAAGCGCGGATTGCCTCTGGGCATCCTTGGTTGCAGTCCTTTGCGGACTCCCAGGAGTCGTACTCGGGGCCCAGTTTGTGCCACCTGACGAGGTACTCCGTGGTGATGCGGCGCCTGCTGCGAGACTGCCGGTGGGCGTGGATCTCGTCCACGTACCACAAGGGTTCGCCCTCAGCTGCGGGAATCGCAGGTGGGGGTGGCGCGTTGCTGCCAGCCTTGTAGGCTTTGAGTTTAGAGACGTGGAATACGTCATGCATGCGCAAGTGCGCCGGGAGCTGTAGTCGAACCGCGGCTTCGCCCACCTTGGCAGTGATGGGGAAGGGGCCGATGTAGCGTGGCATGAACTTGCCAAGGCCTTTTGTGTTGGGTGCCCGGAACGTGAAGTTCTTGGTGCTCAGCAGGACTTGCTGTCCAACCTCAAACTGGGCTTCGCGGCGCGTTTTGTCCGCATATTTGGCTTGGCGCTGTTTTGCGGCGTCGAGGCACTTGGTGGCCATTGTAACCCGTTGGGTGAGGCTGTCGGCGATTTCATCTGCCGCCGGATATTTGGACTGCTGCAGTGGCAAGTCGTGGTCGTGTGGCAGGGACATGGTGCGTCCGTAGACGATGTAGAACGGTGTTTGTCCGGTGGACTCGTTCTTGCTGTTGTTAATGGCGAATTCTGCTTTTGGCAGCCAGTCTTCCCAGTCCGTGAGGTCAGGACCCACGTAATTACGCAGGACCTCCTGTAGCACGCGGTTCGCGCGCTCGGTTTGACCATCCGTTTGCGGGTGGAATGACGAGGACATGAGCTGTTTTACGCCCAGTTGCTTGGCTGCGTTGCGCATGGCTTGTGCCGTGAACCGTGGGTCACGATCCGTGAGGAGCGCGGTGATTCGACCATGTTTGCAGATGATGTGGTTTACCAGCATCTTTGCGAAGCCGATGGTGGTGAGTTGGTCCGTTGTGGGTACCAGCGAGACCATCTTCGAGAACTTGTCTACGAAAACGCAAATGGCTGTGTTGCCAGAAGGGGTCTGCGGTAGGCTGGTGATAAAGTCGCAGGAGACCACCTGCCATGGGCCCATTGGGGTGGGCAGTGGTTGTAGTTTGCCTGCTGGTTTTTGGTTATCGGGTTTGTTGCGTTGGCACTGCGGACATTCGTGCACGTAGCGCTCGACGGCACTGTACATGCCAGGCCACCAGAAGCGTTCGGCAACTGTGTGCAGTGTCTTAGCCACACCGCGATGTCCGGCAAGCGGCGCATCGTGGTAGGCGTGTAGGATGTCTTTTCGCAGTTGCGGGTCATTGGGCACGATAATTTTGTTGCCCTTAAACCACATGCCGTCGGTGAACGAGGCAGTGCCCCAGTCGACGTCCGGTTTGTCCGGCATTACCGCCCTTAGGCGGTCCGCCAGGGTAGGTTCCGTTGGGGACCCGTCAGTAGGCATGCCTATGTACCTCAAGGCTGCGACCGCGGTGGGTGGTGTATGGATGCGGGACAGGGGGTCGGCAACGTTCTTGCGCCCCGGCCGGTACTGCCACGTGTAGTGGAAGCGGCACAGAAACTCTTGCCACCGCGCTTGGCGTCGGGACAGGTCCTTTTTGGTTTCAAACCAAATGTTCGGATGGTGGTCGGTGACCAGCGTGAAGGTGTCTTGAGCGGTTTCCAGGTACGGTCGCCACTCTTGTAGGGCGTTAATCGTACCCAGGAGCTCTTGCTCTGTGGTAGTGTAGTTGATTTCGGCTGGCGTAAACTTTTTGCTGGTATATGCGACGGGATGTCCGTCCTGTAGCAGCACGCCGCCTGTGCCATAGATGCTTGCGTCGGTCACGACTTCGAACGGTTTGGCGAAATCAGGAAGGTGTAGCACCGGGGCGTTGGCGAGGGCGTTTTTAATGCCGTCGAAGGCCTGTTGGTGCGTGTTTGTCCACTCGGTCAGCTTTTTGCTGCCGGTGAGGGCCGTAAGTGGATTTGCTAGCGACGAGTACCCCTGGATGAACTTGCGGAAGTAGTTCGCAAGGCCTAGGAAACCGCGCAGCGCCGTCATGTCTTTTGGGACGGGATAGTTCTTAACGGCCTCGATTTTGCGTGGATCCACCTTGAGTCCCTCGCGGCCGACGATGTGGCCTAGGAAGTTTACTTCGGGCTTGTTCAGCTCGCACTTCTCGCGTTTTGCGCGGAAACGCGCCCCTTTGAGGGATTCGAGGACCGCGTGCATGTGTTCGAGGTGACTTGATGGATCTTTGCTGAAGATGAGGATATCGTCCAGGTACACAACGCAGTAACCGGCGTCGATGTGTTTTTTAAGCACGGTGTTCATGACCTTTTGGAAGGTCGCCGGCGCGTTCGTCAACCCGAAGCACAGTACTTTGTACTGAAACGTCCCGAAAGGTGTTATGAAGCTGGTTTTGGGGATGTCCTCCTCCGTGATGCGGATTTGATGATAGCCGCTTTGTAGGTCAAGGGACGAGAATATGCTCGCACCCTGAAGTTTGTTGAGGAGGTCGGTGATGTTTGGAAGTGGATACCGGTTTTTCACGGTGATTTTGTTGAGGGCGCGGAAGTCGAGGCACATGCGCAGCGAGCCGTCCTTCTTTTGTGCAAAGAGTACGGGCGCGCCGAAGGGCGATTTGGATTCTTCGATGAAGCCTTTGGCCAATAAGTCCGCGAGCTGTTTTTTCAACTCCGTTTGCTCCAACTGGGAAAGTCGGTAC